CCTTGAACAATAACTCTAATACTAGTCCTAGAGAACATTGTTGGGACAGAAGAAAAGAATCACCGTAGGCATATCGTAGCACATAATTGGTAGCTCCCTTGCAGCTTTAGTGTACACATTTAACATGCACATAAATTATACAAGTGTGTATCTTCGTGTGTGTGTGTGTTTAGTTAACGTACTCAAAAGAAAATTATGGTCATACTAACGTCTTAAGTAACATATCTAGTCAGATGGTCATCATAGTTGTAGTCCCTCACAGCCTGCCAAATTTTCCAGTAAGGTATATACGCAAAAATTAAAAGGACCAGCACAATCAAATTTGCACCAACTTACATCTGTTATAACTTTAATGNGTCACAACCAGAAACTGCCCCACTTCACCTAATAAGCTGCCTACTACTTTTCTTCCTAGTCTAGTATCATTATAGCAGATTTTTACACTCGACAATGCTCACCAAAGAGACCATCAAGATTCTCAAAATCCAACAGTAGCCTAAAACTTCAGTTTCTTAACTCATTGAATAACTCCATGACTTAAGCATTCCAATCACAACAACATCACTTGTAGATTAAATCAATTACCAATGATAAGTAATCATGCCAAGGGATCAAGATACTTTCAGATACATAAATATTTGATAAAGGATATATGAAATGACATGCATAGAAGAAAATGATAGCTTGAACCACTTTCACTTTGATCAGTTGAACCACTTTCTTAGTTTGAGAAGTGTAAAATGAACAAAAAACCATGGGTTAAATTTTCCTTGGGCTTATGAAGATGATAAGGTGAATCCAACTAATAGAGTAGCTGGTAACCATTCTATTGATACTAAAGTGAAAGGAGCTGCTAACGGGGAAGCCTATTAGGGAGCAAATTTATTCACAAAAATAATAAGAACAACAATCATAATGAAAACGTCAACCAGGTATTACAAAAGTAAAAAAATGACAGTGTAATAAAATATTTTTCTAACACAGATGAAGGAAAAGACAAGACTAACAACGAGAAAGGGGAGAAGTAGAAGACTCAGCAGGTGTTGCACTGAAGAAATGAGATAAAAACGTACCCACATCCTTTCTGACTTTCCACATATCCACTTCTTTTCATTTTTGGTTTTGTGAGTCTTCAGAAATAATTCATCATTACGGAGATCTTTCCCTGTTAGCTCCTTCTGCAATTATTAAGAATATTGTTAATTAACAGAATATATCATAGAAAAAAATTAGACTAATACTAATTAATACTGAAAAAATTAAAAAAAATACGTGTCTTCTTCTGTATTCAGCAAATGCAACTGATCCTCCGGTATGTAAGGAAGGACCTTCTCCATTATTAGATGACATTCTGTTCTTCGAGTTGATTTCTGATTTCTTTTTAAAATTCTCAGAGTTCCAATATTCCATCAAAGCGTCCCAGTGATCTTTAGCAATCCATCCCGGTATTTCTTTTGTTTTTGAAAATTGTCTTTTTGCTTTTCCCAAACTGTCATTTAACCTTTCACTCCCCACATGCTCAAAAGTCCGTCGAATAAAAACTTTATCCTCACTAGGAAAAGAATATTTTTTCTGCAATTAGAAAGTAAACATTCAGTTTGGTATCATTTATCAAGTTAAGTCAATTACGACAGTTAAGTATAAATACCTCGAAGTCATTGAACCATCTATCTCGTAATGCTCCGGAACTTTGCTCCAACAATGCCATGATCCAGAGAAGCTTTTCTTAAAGGTTATTGTTACATTCCGAACAGCTTCATGTGGGCAAAATCTACAAAATAATCAATATAATATTTTATCGGAAGATAACTAAATGAAAACGAATTTAACCACAACTTGTATAACTAGATTTACTTACGTGTCTCCGTTTACTTTCAAAGATATTATTCCACGAGTTGTATCTCGTCTTGCCTGTGGATTACTACTTCCATAAGATGCAACTGTTTGTTTAGCAGAAACATCTTGAGAATGAGTTTCTTATTGAGAACCAACATCCTGAGAAGAACGAGGTGCTTGTTGATGACCAATATTCAGGGAAGCAGGAGTTGCTTGTTGACCACCAACATTTTGAGAAGCAGAAGTTGTTTGTTGAGCATGAACATCTTGAGATGTACATATAAGCTGCCGAAATCTACTTTCATGAGACGAGATAATATGTTGGTTTGAACCAACTTGTTGAGATGTAGGGGGTGATGGTTCACTAATATTGGCATGAGAAGTGTTCGGTAGTTGTTGGTAGCCTTCTCCCCCTTTGTTAGACATGCCCCCACGACCTCCCCAACTACGTTTAGTGCCTCTTCCCCTTGTCATACTTCCTGATCAAATACTGGCAAGAAGAGTAGAACAATAATAATAATAATAATAATAATAATAATAATAATAATAATAATAATAATAATACACTAGCCAAACAGAACATATAAAATATAAAAATTTGACCATCCAAATATTTTGCTAGAACAAGCATAACAGAACATATAAAGTATAAAAATTTGACCATCCAAATATTTTGCTACAACAAGCATAACAGAGACCTCTCTATTTGACCTTTTAGCAAAATAATTCACCTACTTTTCCCCTTTTTAATAGATCTTCTTCGATAAGAAATGATATTTTTCTGTCTTTTAGTGGGAGAAGGATTTATAGTTTACCTGTTATATTTTTATGGAGATTTTGATATGATTATCACAATCTGGTATCTATTTTGTTCACAAGATATGTTATGAGCGCGAATTGCGAATTCAGCTAGTAGCCTAGTACTATGAAAATGTAAGGTTTTGGAATATAAAATGCGGAGAATGATATCATAGATTTGAGTTTGGCCTAGCTAGTATTCTGCTACTTGTTTGAAAATAGCCATGTAAACAATGAGAACTAACAATTTCTGTATGGGATGTACCATATTGCTATCATGTAATATGTACTGCTAATGCTACAAGCTGTAGAAAATATCAGCAATCACAATAAAGAACACAAACAAAAATATTGTAGTAAAAGTCATGTGTTATACTTAACAGCTTGTTTTCTATGAATGTCATTATTTTCACTATAATTTTGCTCAAATTTCAATCACTTTGTTCATCTTCTTCATCTTCATCAGATTCTTCTATCTCTTCATCACTTTCAATATCATCAATATCATGCACTCTTTCGATTTCAGCGGTCTCTTTTTCAAAGTCATGTACTTCCAGCTCACCATTTTCATGACGTAAGCAGTCAAGATCATCAGTGACATTTGGAAGTATCACGGGCAAATCCTCCTCTTCTTGGTACGGGATATTTGGAGAATCAATACGGCTTCTAGCTTTTATTTTGCACACTGCCCACCAATCAACCCTATCTTTTCTTTTACTGGGATATTCTGCAAAATAGACTTGTTGTGCTTGTTCAGCCAACACGAAAGGTTCATAGGCATAGCTCGAGAAACTTTTCTTATGATTGATATCGATTAGACCATATTGATTATGAACCTTCAGCCCTCGGCCCATTGTTGGATCAAACCAATCACATTTGAACAACACGAGAGTAGTTCTTTTCTTTGTCGGATTAGAATACTCTAGTTGTATTCTCAACGAGCAATCCATAGTAGTCACTTTCATAGTCACTCCAACTTGTTCCTTTGATGCACACACCACTATTCATAGTTGTTTTGTTAGAGCCATATGTAAGAGTGTCGAACTTATAGCCATTCATAAAATACTGAGGCCATGTTTGCACCCATTTAAAAGGACCAGAAGCTAAGTCTTTCAATCGCTCATCAGTTATGTTATTAGCTGGATTATGGACCTATTAATAAAACAAATAACCAATAGTATGTTTAGTTAAATATAAATTTTAAGCCAAGACAAATAAAGACTACAAATTCTTTTATTTAATTGTAATTTACTCACATAAGCTTCAAACCACTTGGTAAATCTACTATTTGTCTCTTTCTCAATTTGCTCGAGGCTAATGTTTTCCGAATTCCTTTTTAATTCAGCTTCAAAAATACTACAAGAGCAATGAAATTCTAGTTATGTTAGCCCATTAATGAAACATATGTGCACTAAATTGGTCAAAAATTTAACTTACAGGACGAATTGTTGAACCTCCTCACAATTTAACAGAATATACAAACGTGCTGCATCCCACTCATGATCGGCCAAATACCGACTATCTTTCCCCCCACTCGAACGTCCTGGATGCAGAAAGATGGACAAACAACCATCAGGTGCATCAACTTCATCTCCATCATCATTTCGAGTAACTTTGTTTAGCCTAGTTTGCACGTTAGGATGGAAATAATGGGAACTGAATGTTGAAATTTCTTAAATGATATAAGCTTCACATATTGATCCCTCAACACGAGCTCTATTTTTCACCTTCTTTTTGTAAGTGTGTAGCTCCTTATAATTAAAATATATTTTAGAATGTTGTTAAATAAATAAATTAATTATCTAATCAAAGATTCAATTTAGACTCTTACCGCTCAAAAGGATACACCCATCGAAACTGAACTGGACCACCAACTATTGTTTCATATGCTAAATGAATCGGCAGATGTTCCATGGGATCAAAGAAACCAGGAGGAAATATTTTCTCTATCTTGCAAATTGTAATCTTTATGCTTTCTTCAAGCTTTTGTACATCTTCTACTTTTAAAACAGTTGCACATAAGCCTTTAAAAAATAAGCTGATCTCCGTTAAGGCTTTCCAAATTGGCTCTGGCAAAAAATCTCGAAATGCAATTGGTAGTAACCTTTCCAGAAATACATGACAATCATGGCTCTTCATCCTTGATAATTTATAATCTTCCATGTCTACACATCTAGACAAATTGGAGGCATAACCATCTGGAAACCTTAAACTTTTCACCCATTCACATATACACTTTTTTTGTTCTTTTGTTAGTGAGTATGCTGCCTTTGGCTTCAAAAGTTTCCCTTGATGCTCCTTCAATTCAAGCTCTGGACGATTGCAGTAAGTCTGCACATCCATTCTAGCTTTTAAATTGTCCTTCGTTTTATCCTTTACATCCATTACTATGTTGAATATATTATCAAACACGTTTTTCTCGATATGCATCATATCGAGATTATGCCGAATAATATTATCGCGCCAATAAGGTAATTCCCAGAAAATACTTTTTTTGTCCAATTATGTTGATCCCCAAATCCAGGCAACTTATCGGAGGCGTGATCATCAAAAATCTTTGGCAAGTCACGCACGTTGTTTCAAACTTCTTCACTAGACAACCTAGGAGAAGGAGCAGAGTGCTCAACTCTTCCTTTTAAAAATAATTTTTTATCCCTTCGAAATGAATGACCTATTGGCAAAAATTGACGATGACAATCAAAGAATGAAGCCTTTCTTCCATCTTTTAAATAAAATGCCTTACTTTTTCCCATACAACAAGGGTGTTGACATGTGATTTTTGTCCCTCCCCAAATCTTTCACATTTTTAGCACGTAAATATTTAGTTTTGCCTTAATGTAGCTATTTCAGCTTATTTTGACTTTTTTTTACTTTATTTTCGTCACAAAAATGAAAATTACAAAAAAGATATATAAATTTTAGTTTATTTATTTCTCATAAATTTTAAAAAAATACAAAAATAGTATTTTATTTTTATTTTTATATAAATTTAAAAATACAAAAAATATATTTTTTTTTGTTTTAATTGTCAGTTTGTTTTAATAATTATTCTGCTTACGTAGGATTAATTAAATAAGGTCGTGTTTTTATTCTCGGTTGCGAGGAAAGAATAATATTTGGGTTCAAACGACTCATTTTAGGCCTAATTTTCGGACCTAGCCCAAAATATTTTCAGCCGAGATGCACATGACAGCACATAACTCACACATGCTAGCACATGAACACAACACATAACTCACACATGCTAGCACATGAACACAACACACAACTCACACATGCTAGCACATGCACACAACACACAACCCACACATGGTCTTCAATATTCTCCATTAAAACCCAAACAAAAACACACACGGGAGAGGACCTTAGACACCATCCCCCTCTCCTCTCTTCATCTTCTTCAAACCACCCAACCACCACCCATTTTTCTGGCAAAAGAACACCCCCTCCCAAAAACGTGGACAGGGTATACGTTCGATATACACTCAATATACCGCGGATATACACGGGCAGAACACCCCCTCCCTAACGTATCTCCTTCTTTCTTTCTTCTCAAACCAGAAAACAACTAACTTTTCACCATCAAAACCAGCCTTGAAGCTCCAGTATTTCAGCCATCAAAATCAGTTCAAAACACATCAAAACAAGCTTGAAAATAGCTCCGTTTCTTCAGTCAAAACGACCTCTAAAATAGCAGCAAAAACCTATTGCAAACAGCCATAAAATCCACCCCTAACACCACCAAAAATGAGCCAAAAGATCTGCTGAAATCGGCTAAAAGAAATCGGAACATATGCGTTTGGATTTTCGTCGCCGGTCAAAGTCGCTAGTCCAGGTTTCCGTTTGAGTCTCCTTCTAGTCCGTATGGTTTTGCTTGGCTTTATTTCGTTTTGGAGTAACGAATGTTGAGCTGTATCCATTTCATGAAGAAGGTTGTCTTCTCAGTCTATTGATAGAATATTTATATCAAAGGTTCATTTTCTCTAATTTCTTGTTTGCATTAGATGAATGTTTCAGTTTTGATTTAGATCTGTCTAAATGTTTTACTATTGTTTCTTTTGTTTCTGTTTTGATTTATGTGTGTTTGATTAGAATTATTTTCTCAAGTCACTAAATGAAAGCTAGATTCGTTTGAATTGGTAGATGTTATTAATCAAGTTTTGCTGATTAGGTGCAATTAATAAATCATTGTGATTACGGGTACGGTTCCCGTGACGTAGTTGTGATGCTTAATTTCTAAATTTCGGGGGTGCATCTTATGTAACCCGATTATAATGGCTCTAGATAATCTTAGTGAATAAATTAGGATTACTTTTTTTGATAGAGACAAAACAAAAAAAATAAAAATCATAGTTGCTTTTAGGCTTTCCCTTTTAAAAATAAAATGAGTCGAGCCTCGCCCAATAAATGCACAAACTGCGGGGCCCTCATAAATGTATATACTAAAAATACTCAGAATTTGGGATGG